ATAGTTCACCATTTTCTGTGGGAAGGAAGCCATTCTAAAGATGGGATTGGTATATTATTTATAGTATAGGAGATAAACCAGCATGCGGCGCACCTGATTGGTAAGTGGTTACCGCCGCCCATGAGCACTCGCAACATCTGGGGAATTGTAAGTGCGCTACTGGCCGGCGTTGTAGAAGTAATAAGCTCTTTTTTGAAGGTTTCAACATCCTATCGGATCGTACCGGTTCCTACCAGTTCCGGAAGGTGATTACAAAATATAGTTGTGCGTGGCAAAACGTTTCTGGAAAACGCACTGTGGAGAAATGACATTCATCCAGATGATCAGGGTAATATTTTAGTTTCTGGTGATATAGTAATTCCTCAGAACTCTCTCCTTGATGTATATGGTAGAAAATAAACAGAGATGCAAGGTCTCTCCATAAAGACAATGGATCGAGTCTGTCACAAAGACGTTGATTACTAATGATTCTGGCGGCTCGGTTTTGAATGCGGTCAAATGGAATTGATAAGATTCTATAGTTAGATCGAGATTAAAAGAGATTTCCTCTAGAGTGATTTCGCCAAGAACTACCAGGGAAATGTTCCAAAAGGAATGAAGAGGAAGAAGTAGAACCCATTAAATTAAAAATTAATATTATATTCATGTATAATTAATACAAAACAATTATATACCTACATGACATCAATTTTAAGGATTAAACCATATTCTAAAATATGTACTAATAGTACAGTCCGTTTTAGAGTTGGACATTCGGAATCCAAACGTAATGAAGTTTTAAAATGCAACAGGTGTGTTGGTAGATACAATGAATGTAGTGAATTCTACATGGGTTGCACGAGTAAGATACTGAGAGACAATAACACTTTCTTCGTAAGAAAGTCGTAATGATTAAATTTCGTTGTAGGTACTACCTACTAAATCTAAATACTTGATAACGAAGGCGAATATCGTCATCAGTGGCGTTGACATTATGAACCTGTGCGGTCGTGACCCTCTCGGAATCTAGTTTCAAGAGGTTTTTGTTTATTTTAAAATATTGAGAAATATTTAATACCAATTAAAAAATAAATACATAACCCCAGATAACGTAATGTAAAATAAAAATAAAAATAGGGCGGTAGGTTATGTCTTTATTTGATACGGGCACAACAGGCATTGTGATTTGTCGCTCTATGACTCTTGTATTTACCCTTCAAGTTATGACACATCTGTGTACTATTGTATAATTATTATGAAAGGATTGTTAAGAGTTTGATATTCATAGCCACTATGCACATATTATCTACAGGTACCTACTTTCGATTGCTATGCGTAATATTCGTGGTAAATATTATACGTAATTATTATTTACGTAATTATTATATTAATAATAACAATTTGAGCTGCTGCATAATGCATTACAATTTCATAATCACAGAACAGAGTGCGATTTTTATTAGGTATTTCTAAAAAGATATTGACTTACTTAAAAAATACATTGCCTGTATATTATTAAAATATTTTTTTTTATTAAAGCCGTGATTAGAAATATGAGGATGACTTAAAAGTAACTAATGTGAATTTAATTAAATAAATGTTTCTTTAGCCCCAGTATCTATAGTAGGCATATTTACTATCTGTATGAAAGTAAATAAGTATATCTTTTATACAAGTTTATTGATCTTTAATAAACAAAATGAAATGATAGGTAGGTACACATGGCGAATTTGTTTTTGTTTAATATCAGCAAACAAACCTGTGACATTAACAATACAAAAGTGATAATTTCTAGCGGCGTTATTTATAGATGTTTATAGATGGAAAATTCTGTAGGCAGGATTACCGAACAAATATATGTGTTTGTTTGCATAAGTGTTATTTCACGTTTGACTATTACTTGACGCTATCATTTTGCGTATAAACAAAGATGGTCTATTTATAAAACATATGAGTACTGGCAGCAAATAGGTTAATTACATTGCAATTTTACCAATTTTTTTGTTATTTTATTGTTTGCAGATAGTTATATATAAACTGAAACGAGTAGGTGCGAGTGAAATATGACTTATCAACATGACTGACAGAGGAGCGCGGAGGTAGTTTGGAATTTATGCTCATGTGGGTAGAAAGTCGCCCCACGTTAACTTGCGAAATATGGGGTTGTATGGATAACAAGTATCCTGAAACTTTATTTTGCAACAAGTGAATTCAAATTTTGGTTTACATTTTAATTTCAAGTTGTCGAACGTTTACTGCTGAATTACCTGTACCTAATCCGTCGATGTAACTTCAAATTAACACAGAAAAATATGTTTGCCGATTTATATTTTTGACTGACTATCCCATTAAGGATAGCAGTCGTAATGGTAAGTATGTATGTATGTATTTTAATTTTGGTTGAAAATGACATGTGTCTTCAATTATGAATAGATCTGGTTTTTGTAAAGTTCTCAGAAACCGAAAATACGAAAGGATTGATAAAGTCTATAACTTATATTACCTATTATTTATTAACATTTTACTATTTGTCTTCATTGGTATAAATATTTGTTGACCATACTTGCGATGTGAGTCAAATTTACGATTTAAATAGGGTTCGCTGACTGTTTTACTGATAATAGTTCTTTAATACTTAATTTGATATTGCATCAGGCGGTAACTAATATTTTTTATTACATACATTAATTAAATTAAAGTTAATATTTGTATATACAATAAATTAGTCAAAACATCATAGTCCTCTGGAATAAGTGCGTATATTATAGTTGCATACGTACTCCCTTCTACGTACATACGTACTTGTATTTTTGTTCCCTATAATTGAAAGATATGACATACGGCATATCGTACAGTGCCGTCCGCAGTCAGCTGGTACGCCCGCCCATGCCCTAAGAAGTTTATCAACATATATTAAATGCGTTAACGAGCGGTACCAGTACATCCGCTTATACTAACGGCAGATGGTAGTCGGGAAGGTATCATTAAAGGATGATAGAATGAGAATGAGGGTTAGTTAGGCCATCGCTGCAAATTGACCAGGCATCAAAAGGCTTCCAAAAAACAGTCAAGGGTAGATATGACTGTTTTTTGGATTGGTAATAATGACCTTGATCTGATGGAATACTTGGTTACCAATTCCTACAAGTCATCCCTTACTTACTACCTACTCACCTATTAAACCCAGATATTTTTACCCGAAGTTATCCAAAGAGAGATGGTCCTTCTATAAAAAACCCTACTACCTAACATGACCGTAATCAATGATATATATAATTAACTAACAAACACACTTTGTTATCTAATAGGGATATACTTAAGTTTAAGTAGATACAATTAGTAGGTATTACCTAAGTACTCAGATATAATTAGATAAATGAGTAGTTCTCGTTATTTAAAAAGCTATCTTTAACGGTAATAGCTATTAACTACAAATTAATGCTTAGAATGAATTAAAATAAAGAATTTCCGTGAATAGAATACCAGAATACATATTCAAATGAAATTATTGTGAATTGTTAAGAGTTTCTTTGTGATTAAAGTTTTTTATATATATGTATATGTATAACCACAACAGTTATATAATATTCTTGTTATTTGAAATACTTTATTAAACTTTTACACCTAATTTACAATAAAAATGAGTTATGGTTTATTATATAAAAAATAATCACATCTATCTGTCTAGCTATAGATACATATGTACATCTAAGAAATTCTGAAAATACATAACCTATTATTTTTAGCAATACTGTTTTTTCCAAGCTTGCGTTATCGATAAGACCGCTATCTGTAACTTCTTCTTCCTTTAACCTACTGTTATATTTTGCTATGTATCTATTTTTAATGTTGGTGCAATAAATCATTATAAATAAAGGAAAATAACATCTTAGATAATAACGACTAAATATCTGTTTTATGTAATGACCAAAAAATGACAGGCTGGACCTGGACCTGGACAGACAGGATCTTTATCTTTATCGTACCGAATCTGAAAATACGACTATAATTCAAGAATATACGGACAGACGTTCCTATAGACGACATTTTAGATTAGGTATTCCTTTAATTAATAATATATATGATAACCGTAACGTATGTACCTATAGTAAAATATGATCCAAGACCTAATTTTATCTAACGTTTACCTACGTTTGCGTATATTCCATTTCGCTGTGGTAGTTGTAAAATGATGATAATATTAGACGTGAACATAAGTTTACGTTATAAACAATGTACGTGTCTTTACTTAAGTTATTATCACTTATGCAAATATATATTTATGTATATGCATGTTTACTTACCTACCCACGTTGATTAAATAATGTCTATAGTTACAAACTATCACTATATTAAAATTAAAACTATGAAAGTAGTTAGGGTTAGATTCTAATTTAGAATAGAAATCGGTGATAATTTTCAGATATATTAAGTTTATTATATTACAATTTATTATATAGAAAAATCGAATAGATTTCATCTGATAATTACATTTATGGTCGTAATGGAGTGGTATTTATGTAAAATACAGTTTACCTGATATTGCTTATATCAAATACTTTACGTACAGTAAACATAGACATATTTAACTAAAATAAAGAATATAAATATGTAGACGACATAAAAATAATCCAGCCCAAGTATTAATCCAAACAGAAAACAAATTCACAGAAAGTAAAATTCTTATTTCATTCAATCAAGAACTAAAGTGGAAAAGCCACTATGCAAACTTTCATTACATTGTTATAAATGTTTGAAAAACGGCCACATTTTTTAATACAACATTTCAGATTGTAATTCAGCTGTATTACCTACCCTTAATGACCATGCGTGTGCCGTGTGCCCCATAGCATGCTGTCACCGGCCGCGTGGTCGCTGACATGCCGTGATGCGTGCTTATCAGCTCCGATAACACTATTACGGATGCTTTTGTTTTTATTGGAGTTGCGGAGGGCGCGCCTCTGCCCGCCTCTATAAAATAGACTAACTGCCAACGTAATGCAGCATTCTTTGCTCGTTCTTTGGTCGTGACGCGTCACGTCACACGCTTCCTTTCAGCGTAACACGCCCCCAACATCATCCATTCATATTATAGTATTCTATTTATAAATTGGTAAGTATCTGTTTATAGTTATAGTGAATTATTTGTGTGTAAATTTAGTTATGTATTTTAATTTATTGCTTTCAGACAATTAATCAAATAAAATGGCTTATCTACAATCATTGCCCAAATCTGAAACTATAAGGCTCCGGGAGAAACACGTTGGGTGAGTATATGTTATGATTTAGGTTTTTAATTTTTCTAATTAGGTATTCCAGCGATTTCTTTCTCGATATCCATGATTAAACTATTTTTTAAATATTTATATCCCCGGACAGCGATTCGTGTTCTTGCTAAAATGTCCTATTGGTATTACTTTAATAACATTGTTATTGACATTTTATGGTATTTCACACTATATAAATTACAATTTTAATCAAGTTAAAACTTAGTAAATGAGATTAATTAATTGAAACTATAATTAAAGTAGGTTTATAAATTAAATTCCGAGAGTTATTTTTTAAGTCTTCTATTATCTAGTTTTGAATTAGCTACCGTCAAATTTCATTATAATCAGTCCAATCACTTTTGTGAGATACTAACACAACCGGAAAAATACACAAAGGGGGAAAAATTTGCAGTAAACTATCATTTTTGGTTTAATATACCATGTGCTATGTAGTATTAGTTTTTAATATAATACGTGTAAAGTATATATACATGTATCTAAACTTATAAATAAGTTTACAATTTATCTTTCGGCTTCAGGTGGGTCAATTGGTTCAGTAGTTTATCAATGAAAACAACAAGCAAAAATTATTGTGTATTATTTACTTTTTTTATATTGACATTTTGGTCTGTCTGTCTGTTTGTTCCAGCTACTCTCTGTAATGGCTGAACCGATTTTAACGGGATACTTTTGGCAGGTAGCTGATATAATAAGGAGTAACTTAGGCTAATTTTATTTTAGAAAAATAAGTTAATTCCACGCGGGCAAAGTCGCGGAAACGCTAGTTATTAATACAATTAAGCGGATCGCATATGTTTATATTTATTATCCACTTTAAAAGAGATCAGCCCTGGAAATGCAACCTGAAATGATGTTGATGATGATAATTATAATAATATTATTAAAATGTCTATTTTGCCTACTTTTAGAGCGGCGTGCCAATTATTCTTCCGATCATCACCCCTGAAAATTGTGCGTGGTGTCGCTCAGTTTATGTACGATGAAACAGGCGAGCGATATCTGGATTGCATCAATAATGTAGCTCATGGTATGTGTAGATAATTTCCATATATATTATACATCGAATACATAGAATACACCCAGACAAATACAAATAATCATACCCATAAAACATTGACGTTTGAACAGTGCGGGGAATCGAATCTGCGATCATCAGAACTAAACTATAAACATAAAAATGGTTCAGAGTTTGTGGGGATAGCCCGTTTGTAAAATATTAAATATTATCACGCATAAAGCACTTTTTCTAACAAGTAGGTACTTTCCTGCTTTTTATCACAATAAATTACAATGATACTACATACATACTAAAATTATAAATATGGAAAAGCAAGTCTTCCTGTTTTTTTCCTTTCAGCCGTATAGTCGTACCATACGGCTGAACGAATTCAAATGAAATTTGTTGTAAAGCTAATCTACCATGTATCACGAGGACAGACATAAGTTATCTTTTACCTAAAATAATCAGACGAAGTCGCGGTTAACAGCTAGCATTATCAATATATTGTTTTTGCGACAAGGGATAGAATGTTTACATATACCTTTGAAATGAGATAATTAAGAACATTCAGTGAATGGCCGACGAAAACTTTTACGTGATCACTAAAAAGGTTTAGAAATTGGAATAACTAATATAATATTATTTATAATGTCCCTTTTAAATGTTTAATAAATTGCTCACAATTTATGGCAATTTTTTAAATATATATGCACCGCCAACAATTATTCTTCGGAGTACCTATGGTTGACTGGTAGAAAATACCGCATGGTGTTAAGTATGCTAAATGTGCAATTACGTATTGTTTCTTGTCGCTATCATTTTATTCGATGATCTATGATCCTATACATGTATGATTTAATTACACTTTAAATGTAAAGGGTACTGTAATTGGCTAGACAAGTTGTTCTATTAATTGCATGAATGTACCTACATGCTGACACGAAACCTTTACGTGCATCATTATCTTCAAGACGTCCAATGTCCGTGTCCTACTTACGTTTAAATGTAAACTAAGCGTTTTATTCTTGGACTTACATACATAATACATTTTTTTAATGGATGCTAATGGAATGGTGCATCCGCTTTCACTAACAACGGGCCACCAGTAGTGGGTGATAAGATGAACATGAGGTTAGGTCAGTGAGCCCAACATGGCAAATTCATTAAGAATTTATCACGATGATTTCCAGGGGAACCGTGTGGAGATCATCCTGACATGGTGCATTGCTAGTAATGGCTTTATCAGTCCACATTACTAGCAGTCCCCTTCCTCCATATATAATATATTGTGGTTAGACTTTATCTATATCTAAATTCCATGTGAAAAATAGATTAATGTTTTTCTTATATCATTAATTTAAAAATTGTTACAACAGATGTTAATTAAATATAACTATATAACTGGCATTATTCGAAGTAGAATTTTTGTACATTATTCAATATTCTCGTTAACTTTTCATTGATGATTCTTTTTCACATTTCTATAATACTCTTATACAAAATTCGGCATGACTGAAGCAAGTTTTTCTTCTATATCTTGTTTTGCGAACATTTGAATTATATTTGTTGTTTATTTGTCCATAGTTGGCCATTGTCATCCACACGTTGTCGAAGCTGGCAGAAACCAAATGTCTCTTATATCAACAAACAATCGTTATCTACATGATGAACTGGTTATCCTCGCTGAGAGACTGGTGCAGACATTCCCTGACCCACTGTCTGTTTGTTTTTTTGTCAACTCTGGATCAGAGGCAAACGACTTAGCGCTGAGATTGGCAAGGATTTATACTAAGAACAAAGATATTGTAACGTTGGACCAGTAAGTATTTATTGATTTTATTGCATTATTTAATAAGATCGGTTTTGGGGATTTCGGTTGTAACTGTATGAGAGAGAGATAGCTGAAAGATGAAAGCGTTGGCCAAAAAATTAATACTTTTTGTGTTATATTTGTAAATTAGTGTATTTAGGAATGTTTTTAGAAAGGACGGCTCGTGAAGGGAAATGTCAATCGCTCGGAAATCGTATTTTCAGTTAATTTTAATTGAATAAGTTGTTTCAGCAAATAACAAATTTAAGTTTTGATTTACATTTTCATTCCAAGAACCTGTCTGTAAAAATAATAAGAAAGATGAGTTTACATACAAATGTCATTACAACAAATTTGATATTAATAAAAATGAGTACAATGTTCAATGTAATTATTCTTGACAATATGTTTCCTCCTAATGATGTATGTACTGTACACCCATCTTGTCAATAGTAAACATTTCATTATGTGTCTTAATTTGAGTGGATGTAGATAAGGAACCATGTTAATAACCTCGGAAAAGCTTAAAATTTAGGAATATTTTTAACTTCTTAAATAAGGAGAGACCCGTGCTTAACATTAGTACGTATGGATTGTTATGATTGTGAATGTATTATAATGTGTTAATATTTGTCTACACATTTTTTTCACTCTCTTGCTGTAGGTAGAAAGTTATAAATTATGAATCAGTCCGCGTAATGCAATGTTAATACTTTAAAAAATCTATTTGTTCTGATATTCGGGCATACACGTGTGTTGATATGGTAGATCTTATCTGCGTCCAATTAAGTATAAAAGTAGATAGAAAATAATGAGTTTACCAAACAGAACCCCAAATTTAGAATTTCTCAGCATAATTGTTATGTTGAAATCTTTTTCTCAATATATTTAAAACGTTCCTCAATACATAAGACATATACTTCATAGTAAAATTTCGTGAGCCAACAATTATTGTGTGAAATTACAATGAGTGCGTTTCTTCCGTCGTTACTTCGAGGATCTCGAAGTGTTTTTAGGGTGCTACTAGCGCCTGTTTGTTACAGCGCTTATCATGGTCACCTTACGTCTATGATCGATGTCTCTCCATACAAACTGAACCTACCCGGAGGCCCCGAGAAGCCAGAGTGGGTTCATGTGGTAAGTTAGTCACGTATTCGATGTCCGCACGTGGGTCCGCACCTTAACTTGGTCCCATTATATTCATAGGAATAAAAGAACGTATAATTTAATATTGGCAACACAGATTTGTCAAATTTTATTTCTATTAAATAATAGTTACATTCAATATACATACATATATGTGAACATAAATCACATTTTCCCTTTAAAACGTGCGTATAAATTTTTTAATCATTCAATGGTAAAAATCCTACAGATTTTTAATTGTTATAGTATTAACTGTTTTATCGTCCATTAGGCATGCGACATAGTATGGTAGGTATAGAATTAATTTATTATTTCTATAATCACTGGAGATACAAATCGTATAAAAATATAGCGAAATATTTAAACTTTGAATTATAACTAAAATACAATAAATGTAAATAGATTAAAAATCAAATATATTTTCTTTTAATTTTAAGGGATTGAATAGTCAATTAATTTTATTTAAATTCTCACAGGCCCCTGTTCCTGATGTATACAGAGGAAAATACATATACCCAAATGACTCTCAGTCAGAAGAGGAGTTAGGTGAAATGTATGCGGATGAAGTTGGCAAGATATGCAAAGATATTGTCAAGAAAAATGGTGGCGTTTGTGCCTTCATAGCAGAGAGTTTACAGAGCTGCGGTGGACAAATCATACCTCCCGAAGGATACTTGAAACGAGTATATGAGTAAGTATATCTATTTTTTTATTTGTATATATATTACATTTGGTTCATTTTTTCCAAATTTACACTATTTTGTTGTCTGATTTTTTATACAATTAATCTAATAAATACATGCCTAAAAATCTCGAATCATAGTGTTTGTAGGTCAAAGAAAGTGTGCCGTGTCAGCTAGTAATAAACAGGATACAATAATGAATTCAAATAGTTATAAACACAATTCCATACTTTTGAGGCTCACCTAAATATAATTATAGTAAATTTCTTTAGTAAATCTGTGTTCCTAGACTTACTTGAATGACATTATTTACGTAGATATCACAATTATCAAACTTTAAAATACGCAGTATTGTAGATTGTAGTAATAATGTCACGAAACTTAATTAAGAAGATAATATACCTATCACTTTGCGAGTTTATAATAACATCATCAGCCAGACGGAAAAGTTTATTATCTGCCAAATACACATAAACAACCTAACTAGTTTCAACTGGTAAAAACTTTCATCTATTTACGGTAGAATCATTGATAACATTGTTTAATAATATAATGTATATTTTGCCCATTTATAGATGTTATTTGTTATCAGATTCTGTTTTATAATTATGCAAATTTACCTACGTACCCAATATCAATAAAGACTTACACTTATTACTTCATTTGTATTATATATCTCAGTTATCAATTGAGTGATATGGGTTAGTCGAGATTGTACATTGTAACCTCTTTTATATAATTAAAGCGGCAAACAAGCTGACTGAAACATAATGACTACATACATGAACAGCATCTACAAATATCAGGTCATCATGTCACGTTCGTAATATTCGTGCGTTGCAAATCTCGAGGACTAAGATGTCATGCCTCTTATCCTGTTATTTTATTGCCTCACTTCTTCCGAAGCACAGCTTACAAAGCAAGCTACGACGCGACGGTTAAATAGATAAACAGAGGTTATAGATTTAGAGTAGGTTTTATTTTATGACTTAGCAGCTGTTTCTCCCAGCAGAACCATTAGAGAAATTACATTAAGAGGGTGGTCTAGAACGACAGTCTCTATTTCCTATTTATTTTCAGCCATCCTTGCTATACTTTTACAAGATATCTTCCACAAAATTGCGTTTACGGATTTCAATGATTCTCTTTGCTCGTGTCGACAGTGTTTTTTATGGAACAATATACGAGTTGTTATATTGAATACCATCTAATTGTTTCTGTATTTAGATGTGTAATAAAAACACTAATCAAAGCCATAAATAACTATATTTGGTAGAAAACTAAAATGATAATAACGAGTAGGTGATAAATATACCTTATTTAAAATATTTATGTTAGAGTTTTATTTGAACTTCGTAAGCATTTAGTTATTGATTAGTTGGTCACTGATAATTACTGACTAGTGTGTTTTTCTTAGTAAGTACCTATAATTAATATACGTATGTACATTATAGTTTTATTTACAGCTTAAGTAGTTATATAAATTCTAACCATTCTTGTGCACTAACGTATTATGCCTGTTTATCCCGTGATTTCTCTATCATACCTCACATTTCTCCTATTTTTATTATTATATAGAAACATGAAATGCCTAATGTAAGGTAATATTTTAAGAATTTTAATTAAAGCAAATAATGTATTGATTTCTAGACAAGTTCGAGAGGCATCAGGCATATGTATTGCTGACGAAGTCCAAGTGGGCTTCGGTCGTGTTGGCACTCACATGTGGGCATTCGAGACTCAAGATGTGGTACCCGACATCGTGACCGTAGGGAAACCAATGGGCAATGGTCACCCGGTGGCTGCAGTCATCACAACACCAGAAATTGCCAAGAGTTTTGCTGACACCGGCGTAGAATACTTCAATACGGTAAGTTTCCATAATTGTTTGCAAATTCAATTAACATAAAACCGTAAATTCTTGAAACAAATAGAACGTGACTTTGTTAGAAGGGGCTGTGTTAAATAGTAGCTACTGTTGTGTATAGAAATGGGACAAATGAAGTTATACGACTTTGTGTTGATAAATCAAATCTTGAAAGTAATTGTATCTACGTAATAAACATGTTTATCACTATAAATTCAAATAGACAAGGGTTTTTGTGGTCAACATAATACTCAAACTTAACACATTATAATGTGTATATTCTATTTCAATGGGTTAAGTTTAATCATAGTTAATTAGTTTATCAAGCAACTTAAACCATAATATGGTTCTTAATAATTTAATTAAGATATAGCTGCTATATTTACTTTGACATAAAAACATAATTTTATGTAACATGTAATGTGATGCAAACACAAATTAAGGCGTTTAAATATAGTTCTAATATTATAACATTAAAAATAATTTTCAGTACGGAGGTAATCCGGTTTCGTGCGCCATCGCGAATGCAGTTCTCGATGTCATAGAAGAAGAGCGCCTTCTAGAACGTGCAACCCGTGTTGGCAGCTACTTGCTAGCTCGCTGCAATGATCTCAAGTTAAAGCATAGGCTTATTGGCGATGTGCGGGGTAGGGGACTATTTGTGGGAGTGGAGCTAGTTACAGATAGAGAGGCCAGAACACCAGCTACAGCAGAAGCGAAGCATATTATTAACAGGTATGTTAAGAGGCTTGAGAAAAAGCAAAGCAAACATTTAAATCTCCTTGAAAACAGAGATTGAAAAGATGAAACAGAATTATACAATACATAAGAATGATAAGAACTAAATATAATATTATTGTATTAAATTATTGTGCAACATATATTTTATCATAATCATATGATTTTTATAATATCAAGTAGGTATGGTGTAACTGGTAGGATGCGAGAAGGTCTTCCGGATTAGTTTGTTTTAGTATCAATAATTTCCATAGAATGTTTGTCAGTTAAATTTAAATTAACAAAATTTTGGCGTCGAAATATTTGGTCGCACATAAATTAGCTAGCTATCTAGGTCAAATAGATAAAAAAAAATATGAAGGGTAAGAGTTATTACCTTGTAGTATTTATATATATAATATATACGTATACCGTAAGTACCTATACTAAATCATATATGTTCTGTTAGAATGCGAGAAGAAAAGATCCTGATTAGTCGCGACGGACCTGACAGTAATGTGCTCAAGTTTAAACCACCAATGGTATTCAGTACTCAAGATGCTGACCGCCTGGTTGATACGTTAGACAGAGTGCTGGCTGAGCTGGATGGTAATAGAATCCCAGTCACAAATCTTAAACTTGAGGTGAGTGAATATTCGGTTTCGTAAATCCATCTGTCTTACATAAGGTGTGTTTAGATTAGCAGAACAAAGCATAGTCAGAGTCAGAACAGTTTTAGTCTTCTTTAATTTTAATGAACGTATATTATAAGATGCAAATTTATATTATAAAACCGACTAAAGAATAATTTTTATCATAATGATTCGTAGATTTTCTGCTATTATTTATATTTTATGTAAGAATAATTATTAATTTGTTATTATAATCTGTTTCAGGTGTTGGTTACGCCTATAACCGAAGATATGTCACGAAGTGATGCAATCGCAAATAAAAATATACAGAGCATTAAAAGTTCATGACTTTCTCACTATTAATTAGAAGTCCAATAAGTATTATCAACAATAACATTGTAAATATAGATATAGGTATTTTTGTAAATATTTCACTAAACAACTTTATTTTAAGATTAGTAATAAGTACATATTCTTACATTAAATTGTAATTACACCATTGTGTATAAGTAATAATTCAAATCTCGTAGTAATTGATATTTGAATGTAATAAAGTTTTAAATTTTATTATAGAACAAACTATGATATGACAACAATTCGATGATTAGTAATTTTATGAAATAAATAAAATCATAATCCTATAATATAACGTGAGGAGTATTTCGTCACTTTAGCTGTTAGTAAAATGTTGGCTACGTTGATGCCGAGACTTTCGTTAGTCTAAATATAGACACTACAGATGGGAAGGAACGCTGTAGGTTACTTTATTGGTAGAACAGCGGCTTGATTACGTAATGCAAATACTGTAATTTTCATGCGAAACAAATTGAAATTGACTGTTTTGTAATTAGTATGAATCATTTGACAGCTGCAGTTATAAAATGAATTGTTTTTTTTATTTGAGTAAACGTAAAATTGTATTTTTATGTTATGAATGATAATTGTTAATTAACCTGCTGACCTACATTTTTTTCTCTATTTTGTATTATAATATCATTATCATATACAATATACATTGTGACTATCCTCATGTGCAATTAATAAAACGAATGTTCCTTTTAAAGACCATTATTTATTTTTGTTAATAACAACGGTTTTTATTACTGAAGTAAAAGTTTAAATTACAATTACCAATAACACAAGTTGAAAGTAGTTATGAAGGAGTAATTAACCAAGAGATGAAGTCATTGCCACTCAATTATATCTACCTATACTATAAGGGACTTGATGTAAGTCAGATATGACAGTTTAATTAAAACACTACTACTGTGTCTTCAAAGTATTTACCACAAGTCCAAGTTTTATATCTAATTCCCTTATGACATTATAAACTACGTTTAAGTCTATACCTAAATAATGTAAAAAAGTACTTACACTAGATAGTAATCTGCTTTAATCAAATCTATTATTTTTATTACGTTGTACTTAATAATCCTACTATGCTATTTATGTCTAAGGTGAAAGGCTTTCGTATCTTGTAACTTCACTGCTTCATGTCATCATCCAGAACACAGGTTGGCTCTAAAGAGATATTTTATAATTAGGTATAGTTTAAAAAAATACAAAGCTGCTGTTTTTAAGGCTCCCCCAAAAAACTTTTAGGAATCGGTGGTTTCACTTTGTTCAATTTGTTCAATTGGGTCTTTTTATATTCAGCAGATTCAGGACAATGGGAACATTTGCGATAGTTAGCAGTGTGTGCTCCATCACAATTCACACATTTTGGCGGCTGTTTGTTTCGATCTCTTGTACACTTACTGGACATATGGTCTCCGGCGCATTTTACGCACTTGACTAGTCCATGACAATAACGCTGAGAGTGACCCCACTTTTGGCAACGATGACACTGCTTTGCTTTTGAAAATGGAGGCTCCAATGTCACCTCATGCTCTGAAACCTTTTTCAATTTCAACAACTTTTGCCCTTCAATATTGTAGGGTACGACCGCTAACACTAACATAGGGAAATGCTTTTTCGTATTCTTCAGTACCTTGGTGTGCATTTTGTGAACTCTTAGGACAGGAACAGATTCAGACTTCAAGGCTTCTTTCAGTTTATTTAAGTCGGTATCTTCAGGAAGGCCTCTTATGACCACTCTCATTTTCTTCTTTTCCGGATGGCCAAATGTGTGGTAGGGCAGTTCATTAGTTTCTATGTAATGTATGAGCAATTTATGGTCATCAAAGGAACCACATAATAATTTAGTGAAATTGCATCCGTACATTGGATGGTAAAGCCTAACTCCTAACTTTATTATGTTTTGAGCATGTTTAGAAAAATTAACACCACTATGCAAGAATATTGCGGGCACATTATTGATTCTAGGTTTCGGCCATCTACTTAGAAGCACTTTATTTATTTCAGTATCAAAAACAAGGGTATAAGGCTCTGTTTCTTTACTTGTGGTTGGTAGTGGAAGTTGTGGTCTCCCGGCAATTGGTGACGTAATGTGGCACTTTTTCACAGCCCCAGTAAGTTTCTCCACTTTCTTTTTTTGACGTTTCGGTGGCATTTTAACTGAAAACAATGAATTAAAAATGAAAACGTTACGTGATATATTTTATTTCTTTTTGTTACAATATTATACTAATCTATGATTTTTGCATAGATATCCCGCCAAAATAGCTGTCAAACGTAGAACATTAGGTATTGTAAATTATGTATTGCCTATTGTTTATTCGTACCTATTGTAATTAATCCACAATATATAATTAGTTATTACATCAGTATTAATATTGATATCAATATTATTTGAATATTAAAATTAAAGTCACCCTTGTCGTATTAATATTAATACACAAATGATTCACAACACTTATAAAATAAATAACATTTTTCAATAGTAATTAATTCACGAGTGAAGTCCCACCAAAATAGCTGTCAAACGCAAAACATTATTGTAAATTATTTATTCGTCTAATATGTACCTATTGTAATGAATCCACAATATATATAATTAGTTAGTACATTAGGATTAATATTGATATAAATATTAATAAGACAAAATTACAGTTACCCTTGTCTTACTAATATTAATACACGAATCACTTACAACTTATAAAAAAAATAACATTTTACAATAGTAATAAATTCACTTCATTCGTACCTAGTATTGATACCACTACTAGCAGGAATACTTAACACGATGAATGTAAGCATCTACTGGATGCGAGTGTGGTCACTATTTGAGACAATAATAGCAATAGAACTTTTTGATTGGCGGTAGAAGTAATATAGTTTAGTAGGGTAGATGGATTACGTATTATGTATTTTAGTTAACTAATATTTATATTTAACGAAAGAAATTACGTTCTTTTATATGTATGATTATAAACGTGTATAACTTATATGAATAATATCAAGATTTTTCAACATCCGATAATTACTTAAAACTGTTTGATCAAGAGATTTTAATTTTTACTTTATATCATAACAGTACTGACTTTTCAATGGGCTTCGATTCTACATGGAATGAGTTGGTTTAGTTAGCTGGGTGGTTCTACATGAAACTGAAATGATTTTATTTATAGAATCGTCGTTAATCGGGTTAAAATTAGTGAGTGTCAACACGGGAGTAAACTGTATAGGATGTAAAAATATTCATTTAAATTTGTTTATTTTGTCGAAAATACTAATAAAATTCGCGTAAAATTTTGATAGTTTAATACCCAGATTGTTCAATACCCAAACTGAGAACCTTTAGGTATTTGGATACCTATTGAAAAAGGCTTATATTACGTTTGGGAAATATTTTGAAAGGCGAACCATCTCAAAATATTTACGGAAAGGTCTAATAAATAATACTACATCATACATCACATTATAGTATGTATGTAATCTGTATGTATGTAAAAGAAAAGTGTAACATTCTGTTACTTAAGAAAAAGATAAGAACATGCTTGGTTTTGTATCGTAGGAGGTACACTTGCTCAAAAGGTATACGATACTAACATCGCGTCGCGTCGCCAGCTACGTTATATGATGGATACAAAAAATCCACAACGAAGTTTTGATGCCAGATTTAACAATAGATCTACTCCCGTTCCTATATTATGTCCGACACAATTGCACAATACACTTTTTTATTCTTATGGAATCACGTTGGCGTGTTTCTTTTAACTTTTTTTTACAAGATCTCAAAACATAGGTGCGCAGCCGGTCGCAGCACGTGCGCAAACTTGCCACCAGCCGTTACATCAATCTTATCTACCTTTGTGTCTTAAGTAACTTCTTCATATATTGCACCAATACGAATTTGCGCTTTATACTTTCATAGTATAGTTGAAATTCGTTTGGCAAGTTACGGCGTTTGGGATTTTTTGGTTAATGGTATTTTTGACGTGGTACCCTCAGCTGTAGACAATGAAGGTATTCACTGTCTGGACAATGCGAGGAGGTCCCCGTTTTGCACCGATTAGCCGGATTTATTTAACGGTCTCGATCTCAAGGAAGACGTTGCAGACACCGCGACATTTAAGATTGGGGAATAGTAGATAGATATATAACGGCCAACGGGTAACGGTTATAAAAAGACGAGTACTTTTGTGTAATGATAACGGTTATTTGTATTAGGTGATTTTTAAGATTTGATATTGCAGCTTCTTTTGTATTAATTTAGATTAGAGAAAAGTGAGGATATATTAATGTTAAAAATAAATATAGGCTATCGATAAAATTAGTTAATAATAGAAATACTTAGATGAATATGAATGCCTACAAGAGAAAGTAATTAATAATTACTAATTACATAATCTGCTTTTTAAATTTAGTCATCATAAGTATAGACCTATTTGATATCTAATGTTAAATTATTATTATATCTTATATTGTCAAGTCAACGTACATTATAATTGTTTGTTCGTCTGTAATTACAGGACACTGTAATTATATTTGACGTAGGCAGTTAGGTATATTGAAACACACGATATTTACTTAAACCTAAATATGTAGGATACCGTACATTATTAGCGTACTCAAGCTCATATAATGTAAACCACTTTATACATGGATTTGATTTTAGGACGTGTCAAGGGAAATGGTGTGGTGACATCGGTATAGAACAAAACACGCGTGACGTCACACACGGGAGAGCGTGCCAAACGCAAGGCAAACCACTTTCGTTAATCGTTTCCTAACATAAATGACTCCTCTATCACTTTATTATTCATGTCTATTCCTAAATTGAGGGCGTTAAAACTAAGTCACTACAGTTAAGGTTTCACTTAATTGAATCTCTTTGGTAACGAAACGAGCTACAGTAACATAACAATGTAATATAGCTATGTACTATGTAGCTAGTATATGTAATAATATATACATATATCTGATAGAAGCCAGACTTGGAACTGTTATTATTTGTTTATGTCATTCTTTTTATTAATTTTATTTTACTTTTTATCATTCAGTTGCGTGCAACATAAATGTAATATTGCTGTTATTGCCAAATAATAAACTATCATCATCGTCGATCATATGATAGCTAGATATAACTATGAGATTTAGGTACTGAAAATTTTATGAACTCGTACAATTTTAGGCACTAAAATAACAATTCATAAGTTAATGAATAATTTATGTAACAGTAGTATTGGAAGTAATGACATCAATGTATTGGTGTGTTATTCATTAAAATTCTAATATTGTGAGAGATTTAAGTGATTAAACAGTGGTACGAACCGATATAATGATTTGTAGTTCGCCATTAGTGATCATAGAGTTGTACAATCGTGTGAAAATACTGTATATGCGGGTGGCACGTGCCATGCGGTCTTCTATTATATGGGTCCCATACACAGGCACACTTATATAATTCCCATCCACATCCATTTATGATATTTTAGTCTATGTACCATATCATAAAAATACAGATAAACATAAGTATATATTCTAAGTTGTCGAAGTGTAATCAATATTCGAAGTATGGTAATTTTTTACTACGCTAATACCATATAGTTTTTTTTTATACCACGTAAGTGGCAAACA